TAAAAGGCTGTTCGAGGGCAATTCGAAAACCTCGTTACTCCTGGCATAAACTGCTACGAGAAGCAATGTCCATCTAGATTTCTGGAAAAGTAAGAGCCGTACTACATTTGAACCTGACCTTTTTCTACTGATTTGCGGACAATAAAATCATTTTGGGAAAAAATGGGAAAAAATCTATCACCAAAAATCCATCAATCAAATTTGGGAAAAAAACCGAAACGGTCACTAGACTTCTCGTTTGACCCCAGTTAACAACGTATCTGTGAATTAGGTATCTAGCATGGGATTCAATCTTCATTTCATTGTTATAGATAGCATTAATTTTATATATTTATAAGGCATGCTTTGAGATATTTAGTTGTTGCTCCATCATTCCACTGCGTTCAAACAGAATCCTGTGAAAGGTGTACGATGTGCCAAAGGGTTCTTACAAACCAAGGGGTTGCCGGGTTCAATTGAGTGAGTTCAAGCTACTTATACGCGCTGGTCAGTGCCGGTAATTTTGCTGAAGAAAATCGTACGTTAACCCCATGGACTTGTTAGGAACCTTAACGACTTCTTCTTTTGGTAGGCTTCTCAGAACTCCATTCACATCATTGGAGTCTAGCGTTTCTCCATTCCTATTACAAATTTTTACCTGATTTCTCGCAGAAGAATAGGCGTGGTTGAGTTGCAAAAAATGCTCGTAGCCACAAAGGTCTAGCTGTGGAATCTTGCGATTTTGGTCAGCTATTTAGAGCTGGATTTTTTCGGTTTCCAGTATTGAATATCAAACGTCGCTGACTCCATTTGCAGTACCAAATAGATCGTTTTATAAGAAGTATATGGTGACGTTAATCAAGTGATGTGTCGCCCATATGTTTGATGGTCTTGTATTCATCATTGGAGTTGTCATTTTATTTTTACTTTCGACTCGTTTTCCAGAACGGTGTGGTCAACCTGTCCTTCTTTGTGTTATGTTCACCAATAGTCAGACCAACAAATTTGTGAAAAACCAAAACTGGTCTTGTTTTTGGGATTTTCTGAGGAACTCAACACCGTGGAATATTGTTGGGAATCAGAAAAATCCACTTGGAGACAGCTGAGCAGTTCGCCGGGAAGGAAATTTTGCACGCTGTCGCTACCGCGCGCTAACAAGTCTGCAACCACGACTGCTGCATGATCACTGCAATTTGTTTGGTGAGAAATTTAGGGTCTCATCCAGTAAGGGGAGGGGCATGTGGTGTGACAGTTCTTGTCGGCTACAGAAATTCCAATTTTTGCAAGGGGAGGGAATCCCCGGGGTGCGTGAACCATTTCGCTTAAACTTTTACACCCACCCCGGAGCTTCCCTCCCCTGAAAAAAGTGGATTACTTCATGCAATATGAACTGTCGCACCACATGCCCCCCTTACTGGATGAGACCCAAAATTTAATCTCATTTGTTCGCCTATCTGCAATTAGGAGGGAAAATTACTACAGTTAGGCCGACGCTGGCGCTTAACAGCTCAGGAGGTAGAATTTCATCAAAAAATCAACTACGTAACGTCTATTTTTCAAGGAATATTCCTTCATTCCGTATGGAGAAGCGGATTCACGTCTGTTTGCACCAACTAACAATCGGAAGTCGTTAGCTAATACGGAAATGGTTTGGTCGATGACCAGAGTAGAGTAGTGCCTGGAAAATGCGGCCATTAGCCTTACTCTAGCTACAACTTTTTCTCAGAGGTTGATATCATATGGTTTTCGTTCAATGGAACTCAATATTTTGTGACAGCATTTCGAAACCGAGGGGCGGAAGTGTAGTAGTGGCAAGTGGCACGCTTACCACGCGAGCGGTC